CAATTAGACAAATGAATTAGACCAACCTATTTAATTTATTAAAGTTTTTTTTTTTTCCCCAAAAGATGGTGGTGGTGGAGCCAGTGGCAGTGGTAGTGGTGGATGGGTGGCGGTAGAAAAGTGGTAGTGATGGTGGAGTAGTGACAGTGGTGGAGGTATTGGTTATAGGGTGGTGGCAGGGCCGGCCCTGAGATTTGTGGGGCCTAAAGCGAACTATGAAAATGGAGCCCCTCTAATATATTTTTTTTAATAAAAAATTTATGATTAAAATGATAAGTATTCACAAATTTTTTATTTAAATATACTTGCACATATAATCATTAAAATTATAAACTAAAATTTACTTTCATATATTAAGTGAACAATGCTGTATATTGTATGTATAGTTTGGGTTGGGCCCAAACACTTTATTTGTCTTTTTTTTTTGTTTTTTATATATTTTTATTTTAATAAATATGGGTCAAACCACATAAATATGGACTGAACTAAACATGGGCTCAATAAAACATTTTGGGGCCCTTTAAATTGATCCTAAAACAAAAAAAAAAAACAAAAAACAAACAAAAAAAAGTTAGACCTATAACAATTTATTAAATTTGGGGGCCCTTTTTTTGGGCCAAAATTGTGGGGCCTAAGGCACAAGTCTTATTGGCCTTAGGCCAGGGCCGGCCCTGGGTGGTGGTGATTGTAGGATAGAAGAGTAGCGGCAGCAGCAGCAAGAACAGTAATGGAGGAGCCACAGTGGTGGTAGTATAATAGTGGAAGCAATCGTGATGGGCGTCGTGGTGGTGGTGGTGGTGGTGGTGGTTGAGTAACAATGATGGTAGTGATAGTGGTATCAGTAGTAATGGGGTGGAGTAGCATTGTTGTCAACTGTGATAGTAGTGGTGGCACAATGGTGATAAAGTGGTTAGAGTGGTGGTGATAATTGTGATGAAAGAGTGACGGCAATAGATTCCGTGGTGGTGATGGAAGATGTGGATTTACAAACCTAATTAAAATAGATTTTGATGAGTTCGCCATAATATAATAACCTCTAAATTCATTTATGAATATAAAGGAGTCTTAAATAGATATAATTGGACAAGTTCATGGTTTCATGTTAAGTTTGTCACCTTTAGGTAGCTATTTGAAAAAGAAAATGACATAAATAAATATTAAAAAATCCACAAAAAAAAAAATGTATCAAGAAATAATATATGCAACTCACCAAAGATATTCGCATTCATTACTCTCATTATTTTAGCTAGAGATGGACCCATCATCGTGTAAATATTTACACTCCCGATCACTTTGTTTAGTTCCAATTTTTAAAAAACAGTTTTCAGAAAATTTTATTTTTTTATTTTTGTGTATTTTCATGTTTTCAATGAATTTTTTTATATTTTAAGCAATTTTTTTAATTTTGAGACACACCAAACATAAATACACGTAAAAAGTATAATATTTGTAAAAAAAACCTTTAAAAAATACACTAAATACCAAAAATTATTTTTTAAAAATACGAAAATTCAGTATATTTTTTGTATTCTTGCGTATTTATTAATTTTTTAAAATATTTTTTCACAAATATTTTACTATTTAGATATATTTAAATAAGGTGCATCTAAAAATAATTAAAAAATTACTTAAGATTTTAAAGATATTCACTAAAAACAAAAACATAAAAACATAAAAAAATAAAAAACTCAATTTTCAAAAAATTGAATTCAGAAAATTGAAACCAAACACACTAAATAGTATTTAAATAATATTGTATCAAGGGAAAAAAATGTATATTTAAATAATATTTTCATTCCCAATAGTATTTTTTAAAAATGTATCAAGAAATAATCAGTATGTTTGGTTTGAGTTTTCTGGATTAAATTTTTTAAAAATTGACTTTTTTGGTTTTCGTATTTTTTTTGTTTTTAGTGAATATTTTTTAAATTTTAAACTTTTTTTTTACTTTTTTAGATGTATCTAAAAAGTAAAAAAATTGTGAAAAAATATTTTAAAAAATTAATAAATACATAAAAATACAAAGAATGTACTGAATTCTTGTAATTTTTTTTATATTTTTGGTATTTAGTGAATTTTTAAAAGATTTTTTTTACAATTTTCTTACTTTTTTTAGGTGTATTTATGTTAGGTGTGTCTAAAAAGTAAAAAAATTGCTTAAAATATTAAAAAAAATCAGTAAAAACAAAAAAACACGGAAAATAAGAAAGTAGAATTTTCTGAAAAGTGTTTTTTGAAAAGTGGAAACAAGCCAGGTGAATAGTATTTATAACATGAATTCGAATAAGAATTTGAAAAGAGGAAAACGGAATATCATTTTGTCTCTTAAATTATTATTTAAAAATCAATTTAACTCTTCTATTTTTAATTATATTAATTTTATATTTAAACTATTCAATTTTAGATCAATTTTACCTCGCCATTAGTTGCCATCTAAAATCAAACAGAATTTGCTGATGTGACACTAAACTTCATTTGTAATTTCATTTTATCCCTCAAACTATATCTCAAAAATTAATTAGATTCCCATATAACCAAATCAAATCAAGCCTTAAGTCTCATCAAATAGGATCGGCTACATAAATCTTTCCTTTCCACTCAACTCTATCCAAAGTCATTTCGTTAATCAAATTAAGGGAATTCATATCTCTATTTACTTTGCAAAAAAAAATAATTAAAAAAATATAAAATCATCATTTAGAATTGTCTTTTTAAGTCTCAAATTATCTCAAATCTATCATAAAGAAACTAATTAAGTTGAAAATTCATTAGCTACTCTATGTATGTGCGCACGCATAATTGTAACTACCTTATTCCTCAAATTAATTTCAATAAAATTGATTGACTAATAGTAATTTCAAAATTGAGTGGTTAAAAACTTTAGACCATTCTTTATGAGAGTAACATTTTTTTTTAATCTTTGAAAAATTATATTAAACAATGAAAATGAATATGTTGAGAACCTACAAAATCGAAATTAGTACTTACTTAGTCGTATCATCTAGGGGTGCTCACGAACCCAATTAATCTACCAAAACCGACCTGACCCGACCGAAGCCACTCATTTTTAAGTGGTTTCAATAGTATGGACAGGCGTGTGTAGATGGAGATTTTTTAAATCTGCTTATGTTCGGACAAATGATGGATAAGAGATCACCCAACCCAACTCGATCCATCAATTAAAAAAATGGAATTATGTTTTTATGTTTCATATGTTGAAAAAATGACATTTTATTTAGAAATAATATTAGCTACTTATGAAATATGAAAGTTTGGCCTTTATTTTAATTATAAGAAATGATAAATAAAAAATTTTGGACTCAAATAAGTTCCAAAATAAAAATAAATAAATAAACTATAAATAATTCAAAAAAAATAATAATAAAAGAAAGCATAAAACATTATAATCCAAATCGCCAACTTGATCTGCATTCATCTACCAACTCTCACAACTCGCTTAATTTGCATTTACTAACAAAGCGAACGAATACAAATGGATTTTTTCCAATCAGCTTAAATTTGGACAAATGGCGGATGAAAGGGCAAATTACATATACACCCCCCGAGGTTTGGCTAAATTACAAATACCCCCCTGAGGTTTGAGAAATTACAAATTCCCCCCTGAATGCTATATTTGCATAAGAAATTAGGGGGTAATTTGTTATGAAATATAAACCTCAGGGGGTAAATTGTTATGAAAATACAAACCTCAGGGGGCGGGATGTAATTTCCGAAACCTCAGGGGGGTATCTGTAATTTAACCAAACCTCGAGGGGTGTATATGTAATTTGCCCAAAAAGGGGGAACAATTACTTTCTAAAGGATACTTAACAAGACTAATATTTAATTTTTTTGTTTAAAATTTATTTTTCACACTTTTTTAGATAAAAAAAATTATTATTAAATATTTAATTTTTTTTTTATATATAAGAGGTCTAATTAATTCTTTTGGAATAGTTTGGGAAACAAAAATAATATTTAAATGAATTTGATGCCACAACAAGAAGTGCCATTTAATTAGAAACGGCATGAATAAAATTGATTTCAAATTAAATAATTTAGATGTAAAATTAATACATTTGAAAGTACAAGGATTGAAGCGATTTTAGAGTAATAATTTAAGGGCCAAAATGATATTTCCTCAACAAACAAAAAAAAAACGATAGATATAGAGATGAAAAACAACAACAACAACAACTTATATTTTATTCACATTTCCTTTAATTTTTCATTTCCCTTCATAAATCATACCCAAATCTTAAATAAAAAAGCACAGCCTTTAAGGTGCTTTCAAAGGAAAATACTTGGACCCTCACAATTTTTAAACCCACAACCCCAATTGATTTTTGACCACACATTATTTATTTATTTTTATTTTTTTTCCTCTCTCTTACAAATGTGTGCGGGGGTGCTGGGGAATCAGGATCCTCTCTTTGATTTCTCTCCTTGCCTCCCTACTTGCTAGGCTATTGGGCCCACTTTTGATTTCAATTTTGATAATCCGAACCGTTCCCATTTTAAGATTTGTAGAGTATATCATACATGTAAAAAATCAAGTTGATCAGATATCAGAAAGCTATCCTCAAAAAAAAAAGAAAGATATCAGAAAGCATGTGTTCTGAAAACTATTTATTAAATTTTTTTAAAAAATGATTTTTAATTCGATGATCCAAACACGTAGTTTCTGATATTCGATCAACTTGACTTTTTACATATATGATATGCTCAACAAATCTTAAAATGTAAACGATTCGAATTATCGAAATTGGACCAAAAAATGAACCTAATGGCCCAGCAAGTAGAGAGTCAAGAAGAGAGAATAAGGAGAGAATCCTGATTATGGGGGCCTGGAGCATAACCGTGCTTCAAAATACGAAGTGAATAACATCTCCTGAAACCAAGAGTACACGTACATAATCTATTTATGCCCATAAAATTTTTGTATTATTTGCAGTATAATACGGGAAGAATGTTCTGCAAAAAGCAACTAACTCCAAAAAGAACCTTAATCCCCCATTTATTCTCTATTTCGTGAAGAAAAGAAAAACAAAAAACAAAAAAAAAAACAAAGTAACTAGTACCGATACAGATTTCAGCACTGGAAAAAGAGTGTAGAACAGAAAACACCTGAAAGCCTTGTTTGTGACACTCAGCCCCTCAACGCATATTTAATCCATTGCTCTTCAGGACCTAAAATTAACGATTTTCTTGCACGGTGTCTTGAACTAAGAGATCCAAAGCAAGTTCTGATGAGAAAGGGGAGAAGGGAAAAATATACAAAAGAAAAAAGAAAAAATAAATAAATTCAAGCTCCTTTAACCAACAGAATACTTGGCCTTTGACCATAATTAAGGCTCCTCGAGATATTGGGAGTGTGAGGCTGCCAGGAGGGCGGCTCCAATGCCAGAGCCATCATTGGAATGCTCGATGACAATGGTTCCAGATGCCTCCCCCAGCAACTCCTTAAGAGTGCCCTCCATAGCATTCCTAAATTTTGTGTAGTGCTCGTACAGCCCACCATCCAATGCTATCACTGACCTCTGCTTCTCCCCCTCCCTCAGTGTGTCTCTCCCCAATTTTTTGAGGATGCCTAGAATCCCAGCTGCAGCCAGGCGTGCTCCACGGAAAGAAATGATGTCACAGAGCTCGACTACTACTTTTCTTGTTTTCAGCGAAGTATTAGATATCTAAACAGGAAGCAAAAAAAAAATAAAACAAATAAGAAACCCCTAAATAACCTCCCTTTGGATAGCAAAATTTGTATTTTCTAAAGGGAAGCAAGTAATATACCTCTAGGACATCCTTTAACTTGCTCCCAACCACTCTCAGGTCAGAAGAAGTGTCATGATGCATTGCAGACATATGAGGGGTCCTGCACATGTTACCATAAGCATGAAACTCTCTTTGAAGCTCTAATAATACAACTGACAAGTGTTTATGCAAAGCACAAAACATCTGATACAAACAAAATAAATCATATGAACGCACACACACACTCTCACAAGAACCAAAAATATATATATAAAAGATTCACAGACGAATATCAAATGCACATGCTATGGTTTTTAGCTCCAATATCTGAAATGGCAATTCGTTGTTAAAGAGAAACTCGAAGTGCGTAATCATAGATCATCTAAAAGCAGTGTGCACTAACATTATGGCATGTGTTCAAGCATATAGAGTAAACAGCAAATTTGAGTAATTACTGTTCCAGGCAGACAAATTTCAACATTACATTTATGTGATGCATTGCAGAGACATGAAGAAGTGAATTACTTGCGACACCCAGCTTTCAAGCAGGATGGACAAAAACCTCATGTGGCTCACGTTATTACAATGAACAGCACATCAAGCAAGGGGAGAACAACAACAGTAGGGAACCAGTCCTAAAGCACTGGAACTCATTAAATTCCTAGGCCTCCCCAGAAAGTCAACAGTAGCAAAAATCACCTACTCCAAACAACGAATTTGTATTAAGTTTAGTATTTTATTTTTAAATTTATTTTTTGGATGGCTGAGATTGGGGTGGGGGGATGAAGATTAGTCCATTTTTCTACCATACGATGCTAAATATTTCTCAGTACAAGATGCTCCCAAAAATCTCTACTTACATACTCTTTTTCACAACTAGTTCGAAGGAGGTGTGTTCAAGACCAAATATTTGGTTTAACTACTGAAACCATTCCCATTGGCATTTGCTCATCCACCTTACCTGCTTGAATTCACTCATGAATCAAAAAGCAGTTTTGCGCACTCATGAATTGAAAAGAACTTCATGCATTCTATATTTGGTTCCATGCAACAACGTATTGGTGCCCAAGAAACCCAAGATGCTAATTAACTACAGCTTCTTTAATACTATATTGAGAAGGAAGTTGGTCAATTAAATAGAAAATGGTATAATCTCTTAATTTAAACAGGTTGATCTGCATCATTGGCCACTCCAGATATGGAGCATAGGATAATGACCAAGGCTTTCAAACTGAAACAGAATGATAAGTAAGAAAAAGCCATCCTTGGAAAACATCAGGCATAAATAGAGAGGCTATGAACACAATGGCATACCTTAAAATAAATGGAACTTTCAGTTTTGGGGGCACAGTATCACCAAAAAATGCAGCTTCTTCAGCCATCTTGCACAGAACTACGCGTAAAATTTCTCCCAAATACATGCCAGAAATCATCTTCTCAAAAATCTGTCCAAGTAGGTTAAGAACAAAAAAAGAGATGAAATCACACATTTATTGTTTCATCCATGTAAGAATTAACTAGATAAAACTAAATAGCAACAAGACAAACAGCAACCTGTTCACCGGGGTTTAAGCTCTCAGCATCCAATGCTTGATCATATTCTGTTTGTGGAAGATGCGATGAGCGGAAGTTGCCCCACTCCATGTTAATAACCTTTAAAATTACAAAGATAATATACATAATCAAATTATATGATATGTATGCTCCACGCTCAGTTGACAGCATAAACACTTCTACCCAAATAAAAGATAAGGTAGGAAAAAAGGAAAGAAAAACAATCAATTGGAGGTTTCGAAGAAGATTGAATAACATTAGACAACAAACATTAGAAAACTGCTAACCATATCTCCCGATTTAGGCAGTAGGCCATGCCACTTGGGAATTGCATGTGCGCGCTCCACATACGCTGCATTGGTTCCAGTACCCAAAATTACAGCAGCAATGACATCTGGGTTACTGTATCTGCCTCCCGCGAGTGTTCCAATGGTATCATTGACCTGAAGCAGCACAAGAAAGGCTTCTAGTTTGAGTAGTAGTAGTTCACCAAGTGAAATATTAAGGAATCCACGACACCACTCTATTGCCAGTGTTGAACATAAATCATCACCCTCACAAAAATGTAAATCCTAGTGGAGATCCTGAAAGGAGAAATGACTTACCAAAGCAGCTACACGCATATCAAGACCAACTCTTTCTATGGCTTTTGTCAACTCTGCCACAACATCTTGTCCAACCTATTATAAAGCCAGCCAAAAAAAATGGAAAGCGTTGGAAGGCAAGTAATAAACAGTGTTAAGACATGAGGTTATTGAATCCATGTCATAATAGCATGTTCTTTGTAGAGTACGTAGAGAACATAGTTGTTATAGGCGCAAGGCACATTAAGGTGCCAAAGGTCTCCTAGCGCCGAAGTGTGAGGCATAACATAAAGCACAAGCCTGAGTGAAGTAAAGTTGTACGTCATGTGTGATATGTATGTCAAATGAGTATACTTAGAACTGAAAGTAATTCAAAATATGTAACACAAACAAAAAGGTCAATTTTTCAATATATCAACTAAGAGGGCAACTAAATCAATGCACATGTACATCTTTCAAATTGGTCAATGCATCAATTAAATCAAATACCATTACAAATCTACAATAATAAAAAGTCGTAACCATAAACTTTTATATATAGTGTAATTCTGAACACAAAGAGTCAAATACTGAAGATATATATTTCAAGTAGTCAACCATAAGCCTATGAATCTAGAATACTAAAGACCAAAAATGATTGACAATATTATTTGTAATATTATTTTTTTATTAGATCGTGACTATGATACAAAGCATATCAATTAGTATAACAAAATATGATTGAACTATTATAAGATAAAAAAGTGCAACTTCCTTGAGCCTGCTCCTTTCTAGAGCCTAGAGCCTACTGAAAAGGTGCACACCTGGTGTTTTATGAGGACTTATCTGAAGAGGCTTTGCAACATAGAATGAGGTGCTTTGTCTGAGCCTTGGCAAGCCTTTAGGAGCCCATTTAACAACTATGGCTGAGAACATAATTTCCTCTTCCAAACGAGGTTTTGTTCATCACAATTTCTAGGACAACTAAGCCAAATACTTAACCTTATCTCAACAAAACCTAACTCAATCAATCAAGAGCGACAAATTTCAGTTAAATCACAAAATTAACATGTCTTCCTTTATTATCTTAACCTAAGTAATTCCATTCTCCCTTGTCTCGTACATCACCCTCAATGTTGATAGTGTCACTCTTCTTAACTATGTAATTATGAGTCTTCAATGTACATAACCAAACTATCTTAAACAACTTTCTCTCATTTTATTTGCAGTAAGCACCAACTCTACCATCTCCCAGATTCATTCACACTCCTAATTCTATCTTTCCTCATCTTAACCTTGGACTAGTTAAAAGTAATTATTATTTAAGAAAATCAATTATTTGGGACACAATAAAGACTAGAGATTTAATGTTCAACAAAAGTATAACCACATACATATGCATAAAAAATAAAGAATTGTTGAGTAAGTATGCACATGCCTATTTAAGAAAATCAATCGTTTGATACACAATAAAGAATAAAGACTAGAGAGTTTGGGTATGTTTGGTTTGGTTTTGGGAGAGTAGTTTTTAAAAATTATTTTGGGGAGAGAGTTTAGAAATTTTTTTTGGTTTGTTTGGTTGTATATTTTGAAAATAGTTTTGGAATTTGGGAGTTTGGAATGATTTGATATTTTGTTATAACTGAGTAGATGTGTATGAGAGAAAAAGTGATTGAGAATGAGAGAGGAGAAAAAAAAAGTGATTGATTGATAGGTAAGAGAGAGAAAGTGATTTTAGAAATTGTTTTGGAAAATTTACAAACCAAACAATTTTTTAGAAAAATTTTCCCAAAATCACTCTACAAATTCAAACCAACCATACCCTATATATTTTAAAAGTAGAATCCAATATGCATAAAAGGTTTAATCAGTTACGCACGCACGCAATTATGCACAGAAGTGGAGGAAAAACTAACACCTTATCCAACGATTTGAGGGTCCACTAGGGGTAGATTTTATCGCCAAAAGAAAAGAAAAAATAAAAGACTAATTTATAGTGTCCAATAAATACAGACAATTGAGTAGCGGGGTGCACAGATAATGAAAGTACCGCTCATAGTTTAATTAATTAATTATTATTATTTTAAGTTCTAAAATTAAGTGGGGACATGCTAGCATGCTTCTCCACTGTTACAGAAATGAAGCACATCAAAACAAATCTAATAGGGAGATTGAAAAGAACATGCAAAGAATATATTACATCCAATATTTACTTAAATGGAATAAAACATAGAATGTTCTGAAATACTACCAAAAAAATAAGCAAATTTTTTTTTTTTTTTTACAGAAACCGTACAGTGAGTGTTTGCACAACAAAATTCTGAAATGTATTGATCAGCAAGACCTCCGAACAAGAGCAAATTATAAGCATGCAAATTTCAGTGCCCTTTCCTTTTAAACAGTGGAAGTAAAACAAAATTAATAAAAAATCTATGCACACTCGACCATGTGTGTGGAAAAGATGCTCAAGCTGAATCCAACTATTGCAGCCAAATTAAACTGGAATTCTCTATTTCTTAATCTCAAAAGGAGGCTCTAACAAATCAACTAGGAAAGACTCCTATGGTGCTGTTCCATTGCGTCAATAACACCTCTTTCTAAGTCAGCACATGAAGGGAATGCAAAAGTTACACCAAGTTAAGCAGTAAGGCAAAAGAATCATCATATTAGGCAGCAATTCATATGCCTTAATATTGTTTCCAATGAAGATTATAACCATGAGATCAACAATGGAAACAAGATACAAAAACATAAGCATTCATCTCAACCAAAACTAACAGAAGCCACAAAACAACTTGTTATAAACTTCTTCAGATTGTTCAAGTCTACTTTATTTGAACCTGACAACTAAAATTAGCAACTGCAGATAATGAAATCAATTTTAAAGATAACAAAAAGTAAATGAGTCAAGGTAATTGAAATTAACCGCTTCTTCTATAGAGAAGCCTTTTGTCCATTTAATAAGAGCCCCTGATGCAATTGATGTCTGCTTAACCGGGAATGAAAAGGTGAAACCCAGTTCCCTTTGTCTATCAGGGGGAAGATGAAAATCTTCGCCTTCTGTATCAACAAATTTCTTGAGTGCTTCAGCAATAAAATCAAATAATCCCTGAAATCACCATAGTTCAAAGCTTTCAGAATATGAAAGCAAGCTAATGAGGGCTAAAGAATGTATAGCTGGCAGAATAGATACTCACGTCTGAAGTCCCAATCATCAAATTAGGAGGAATTGAAACTTCATCAAATTCTTGTTTAACAACATGATTGTCTCTCCCTCCCAATTGAACACGCAGGACACGAAAGTTTGTGCCACCAAGATCCAGTGCATAAAACAAACCTTTCTCATCTCTGCAAAAGAAACAAGCAGAAGTCCATGTTCAGCTGAACTCTTTTTTATTAGTATAAGAGATCTAGAAACCAAAAGTGCATCACCTAGGATCAAAACATTCCGTGGCCCAGTAGATATCCTTAATGTATGTAAGTTGACCCACAAAAACCAATTAATGATCACTGACATGGTTTTAAATCACAATATTGGTCATGATAACGGTTGTGGTCACAATGCTGTATCATGAGCACTAGACAGCATGTTATGAGAATTGATTATTGAAGCTGTGGATTTCCATTTTGCCAGCAAATCACAGAAAACCAAATAAAAATTGATTTTGAACCCCAAATCACTCTATTCTAATGTCTTAAATTTCTTAGTTAATTATAACACCCACAGATAAGATTTATTGTTGAAATTGTATTTTATTTGGTTTAGTAAAAATTGCCTCCACTTACCTCTCTACTTTCTTTTTGGGTCCTACAATGATAAAACAAGGGATAACCCTCCCCCTACCTCAACCCCAAGTGAAGGCAAGATTTGATCGCAAGTCCCTGATACCAAACCAACAGACCTTACCAACAAAACTAGCAGGCATCTTCCCCTTTTTTTACTTCCTATATGATTACGATCATAACCAAAACTGAGAAGTCCTTTATATAACCAGCTGTAGAAAAACTACTAAATGATTATGCAACAGAAGATATTGGTTCTTTTCTTACTTGACGGAAGCCTTCCTTTTAAGTCTTAATCACATATAAGCAGTTCGGGCATGGTCATAGGGTGCATTGGGGAAGACTTCTTGTCATTATAGTACGCATACATGAAATCTTGGAATCCATACAAGAGACGGAGTTTTAAGAGGTCTTTAAGGTCTTCAAAATTATGTGGGAGACGATTTAGCAAAACAAGGGGCTATATTGGTGAAATATGATGAAATCTGGTTTCTTTAATCTTTCCTTGAGTCATGTTTTCTATGTTTGTGATGTGTGGGTGTGGTATCATTTTGTAGGTGCCCATGTACATGGTGGTGGTGTTCCATCTCCAACCTTTTGTACTTCCCTTTAAAAGATACCTTGTACTTTATTTATTCAATAAATTGCTGGTTCCTTAATTTTTCTCTGTCTTTTTCTTTTTTAATGGTATCGTGTCCATCTCAAAAAAAATGATACAATTTAAACTTCTTAGTTTTGAATGAAGATATAGACAAAAAACTTCTCTATTTTGACCTCTAAAAGTGCTAATCTAATACAAATCCAGTTTAAATCGGAGAATAGGTGAAAATAAAATATGGTGAGATAGAGATGTTCTTCTAAAATAACTAACAAAAATTCACTTGTCATGAAACACATTAATGATCCTTGACAACCATTACCAACTGTGATGGACTTAACAGCCAATACTGGACTACAATGGCTGATATGTTGTGAATCTCACAAGGACGAATTATGTCAGTCTATGTCAGTAACATGGCTAGGAATACTATATCATAACAACATTGAGCACTAGTATTGACTAATTTTTGGACAGACTGCTTTCATATTGTGGAAATCAACCCACATTGATCACCGTCGCATAACAGTGTTGTGCAACGATTTTGACCAACTTTTCAAACCATGGTAGTGGAGAACCAAAACTCCCAAAGGTAAAAAGTACATCAACGCAGGTGGCCACATCCGTATGGCAGTGGATCCATGAGTGACTAACTTTATATTTTCCTGATCTTTTCTTTAAAGATATACATATTCTTGACTGGATAATGTCAAAACAATTGAACAGTTACTATAAAAAGTAACCAATTTTAGAGAAGATGGATACTAAAAGAAAAATTCTATGAACAATTCCATTTATATGTCACAAATTCAGGTTGCTTATATGTCCAAGGGGGAAGGATGTTCCACTTCATTATTGTCCTGCATGCCACTACTTTAGAAATAAAATCATCGTATTAACCTAAATAGACAAATTAAAATAAGATTTAGAGCCAAAGAATATTTCTTACGAGAGCCATGTACGTGGACACTAACCTCCAGTAAAAACATAAGCTAAAAGTTGAAAAAGTAACAAGCTTTAGATTTTAAGTTACATACCAAAAACATATGTAGATAGACAGACAAAACAACACTACATAGAAGAACAAATGAAACATAGAGTCTGAAGTAAAAAGGAAAACAAACATGAGACAAAGTTAGGCTTCTCTCAACACAAGATTCCTACATGTCAAAAAGAAACTCACAAACCCAATCAATTAAAGTTAAAATCTGCTTTTACTTCTGGAATATGCTTCTCTAAGAAATTCTTCATTTAAACCTTCTTGAGTGGAACAGTAGTCAATGTCATCCATATCCAATGGACCACAACTAAAGATGGTATTTGTTTGTATTTCTTTTAATTACATTAAAAATAGCCAAAGAAACCTCAAAATAATCAGTTATTCAGTTCAGATCCCTTTTCCTAAACCACGAATCAAACCCAGAAAGCAACAGGAGTATATTTATTATAATAGGCCATTAGATAAAATACTTAACTGCATAACCACACCACATATTAAAAATAAAATAAACACTTCAAAACATATAACATTAGATTTCACCGAAGTTGATACATATAAAGAAGTATAATTCAAATAAAATACGGTAATTCTAACAAAGGAATTTATAAATTTGAATCTTTAATAAATAAAAAAATAAAGATTCAATTTTTAATCAATAAAGAGAAATTAACCGTTATCCACAAACAGTCAAATCATAAATCTGATTAATAACTAATACAAACATTAAAAGTCAATCCTAAATTCACGGTATTGATTCAAGATTCAAGCTTTAATATCAAGATCAATAAATCAACCATTAAAAATCACTAAACACACATGAATTGCCCAATTTGTGGGAAGATAGATCCAATTCCTACAATTCCTCCAATTGATTTGAATATGTAAATAGATTTATATAAACATGAATCCATACCCGGTGGGGAGATTGTCGACGTAGCTGATTATCATCTTGAGTTTGCTTCCACCTTCGGATGCCAGACCTGCGTGCATCTCCACAGTCATGGCGTCGGCGACCTGTCTCAGCTTCGAAAGAGGGGTTCCACACTTCTCCTCGAACTCCTTCAGTATTGCCATCGCCTGCGACCACCGTCCCGAGCACTTCATGCGGTGGCGGACCACCAGCACCGCCCCAGCGCACACCGCCGCCGCGCATACCGCCGCCGCGCACACCGCCACCTTCCCCATCACAGGCTCAGAGATCGATTCAACCACCAAAAGACGAATCACACCCACAAACACACACACTCTCTCTCTCTCTCTCTCTCAAAATTTCTCTTTATTTATTTATTTATTATTATTTTTTTTATTTTTTTTGGGCTCTCTCTCTCGTCTGATTCGATTTTTTGGTATTTGAGATAGAAAAGTTAATGGTTTGCCATGTAGTGGTGATGTGTTAGGGGGGAGACAGAGAAGGGAAGAGTGAAAATTTTAACAGAAAAATGACGAATTAGAACGATTTTCTCGGAAAATTTTAAGGTAACGAAAACTAGAAAGAGGACAGATTTAAAAATAAGAGGCTAAATATTTTTTGTGCGCTTAGATATAAATATCCATGGGCCGAACTGCTTTATACTCCCACGGGATGTGGTAGGGCCTATGGGCTTATGATTAACACCTCAAATCATCTGACTCGGTTGATTTATCTTCGTTATATATATAATATATATTAACAATTTACGTAAAATAGAATATTTATTATATATTATATATGGCTCCGATTAAAAGTCTTCTTCCAGTATCATTCCTCTATTTTATTTTATTTTTTTTATTTTAAATAAAAAAATAGATAATACTTAATAAGAAACAAAGTTTATGAATGTTCATTTTATATATATAATAGATAGATAGACAAATTTGTTTAAAATGAAGAAACACACATAATTCTTTAATTGCTTGATAAGTCTAATGTTTATGTGTCTTTAAGCCTCATTTTTTATTATGTATAAAGCTTAAACACACATAATTTTATAATGATATTGGGTTATATAACAAATATAGGGTGTGTTTGGTTTGTTTTGGAGAGCTAAATTTAAAAAAAAAAAAAAATTGGGGGAGAGAGTTTAGAATTTTTTTTTTTTTTTTTTGGTTATATATTTTGAAAATAGTTTTAGAGTATAGGAGTTTAGAATGATTTGATATTTTATTGTAACAGTGTAGATATGTGTGAAAGAAAAAGTGATTGAAATAGAGAGAGGAGAAATAAAAATAATTGATTAATGTGGAGGAGAGATAAAGTTATTTTTGAAAAAAATTTCTAAAATTATTAAACCAAACAAAATTTTAAAAAATTTTCTCCAAAATTACTCTCTCAAAAACAAATCAAACAAGGCCATAAAATTTGGTAAACACACGATTTTTATTTTTTTGGATAAGGATAAATACTAATTTTGGTTTTATCAAAGTCAGACTTTTTTAGCATGCCAAATCAGGGACAGGTTGCATTCAACCTTTTGTAGCTCATCTCATGGCTGGTTTAAAGCCCACAAAATATGACAAGTAACGTTTTTGGGCTGCAATATCAAGACAAAATTATATATTCGATTGGATTAAAAAAATCCTATTGGGTGGTGGGGTAGGGTAAATAATTTTGAAATGAAGTGGTTGGTGGGATTATTTTAGAATTAGGGCTATTTTGAGAAGATTGTTATAATCAACTTTTTGGTAAAAAGTTATTTATAAACAATTTTTTTGTAAGAGAGAAAGTGAATTATAATCTGAGAAGTAGATTATAACTTACTTTCCAAAATAAGCCGTAGATGTGTGAGATGAGATCTATATTAACTCATCTCTAATTTAATGCTAATCAAAGTCTTAATGAATGATTTTTAAATTGAAGAAAGCGATGTCACGAAAAATATCAAGTTATTATTTAATTAAAGAAACTGATTATACACACAGACGCATGAATTGTATATAGATCAATAATTTTTAAAAAAAATAAATAAATAAGTCTCACTAGAACTTATTTAATTTAGATTATAAAAGGTTAGTTCGGTAAATTACATTAAACATGCGTATTATTAAAACCAAACACTAGCTTCCTATTGTTGACTATATGATATCATATGACTCACAGTGTGCAACTTTTCACACGTAGAGAAAAGTCACCCCGAGTATGTCATACTTTTCACACGTAGAGAAAAGTCACCCCGAGTATGTCATGGCTTTATTTTTAATAGGGAAATTATAATTCAGATTATATTTATAAAAATAAAAAATAGGAGAATTTTTTTAAAATCCCTCATATTAAGATTTTATAATATAACAGATATGAAATATTTTCATAATAACTGAGATCCCTCAAATTTGGTTCCAGATAAATTTCGAACCAAAGAAATTTTGAAACACGGAGAAATTTCTAATTTACTCACAAATTTCTCTATGTTTTGACTAGTTTTGTCTGATTTACTCACAATTTTCATTGTGTTTTGAACAAATCAGAGATAATTACAGAGAAAATTGAGCTACTCACAAACCAATTCTTCTATAATTTTTACAAGAAAACACCATGCTAAGTTCATCAAAAACTTAAAATACAAAATCTAATTACATTTTTAAAAAAAGCAAACATACACATCCCAAAAGATCAAAAATAAAATTAGAAATTAGAAATTCAGTGAAAATCAAACAAACAACATAAATTAGTGAGAGTTTAATGTGAGCAGGAAAAATTCAAATGCCAAAAAAATTTTGAGAGAAAATTAAAGAAACAACTAGTCAGAGAAAATCAAGTAAGGCACAGAAAGAAAAAGAATCCAATGTGTTCAAAGAAAATTAATCTAAAGGGGATATCTTAGTGCTAGAGAAAATTCATCTCAAAGGGAAAATTACATACAATAAGACAACTAATCAGTGAAAACCAAACAAGTAATCTAAATTAATAAGAGTTTAATGTTTTCAAGAAAAATTCAAATGCGAGAGAAAATTCAGCTCAATGAACAACTAACCAGTGAAAGTCAAATAAACAACTCTAATTAGTGAGAGTTTAATGTGGTCAAGGAAAATTAAAATGCCAGAGAAATTAGAGAGAAAATCAAAAAGACAACTAGCCATAGAAAATTAAGTAAGGCACATAGAGTAAAATGAATCCAATGTGTTTAGAGTAAATTGTGATGCCAATGAAAATTCATCTCTAGAGAAAAATTACACATAAGAAGACAACAAACCAGTAAAAATCAAACAAGTAACATAATTTGATGGGTCAAGAAAAATTCAAATGTCAGAGAAAATCAATCAAAAAATTGGTCTAAACTCAGAGAAATTTTGCCCAACTTCGAGAAATTTCGAGAAATTTCTTTGATTTTCTCTGTGTTTTGGAAATTTCTTTAGTTTGAAAATTTTCTCTATGTATTATACAGAGAAGTAAGAGAAGAAATAAATGGAATAGTTTCTTATCAACCCTTTAATTCTTTTCTCTATAAGAGAAGTAATTCAACAAGTGATGCAAATATGTGTCTTACAAATATATATATATATATATATATATATATCATCTGTATAGAAAATAGGGACATACTCACCAATATATTGGTCATTCGACTCTATATTCATTTTTAAATACAGTAGAGTCAAGAAAAAATATACACCCAGACAGCTACGGAAGCTTGAGAATGTTGAATTGTAGAAGAAGAGGCAAATAACAGAAATATCATCCACTGCCTCACCTAGTTTTTTACATTTCGAAGCACAAAACGCGTGTTAGACTAATCTTTTAGTCGATTCTTCCCGAAATACCACTACAAACTGTAAGGTTTCGGTGTTCTACATCGAGAATGGAGGGGAAGTTCCTGGGCTATAAAAGTAAAAATCTGGACCCTTATATAGCATCAAGGCCTTTTTTTTGAGTGGTGAAATTCCTAACAGAATTCCTGTCACAACCCAAACCCGCCCCTATAGGTTTAGCATCGTAACTAGCCAGTAGTCCTTGGATTACCGAAGGCCTCTGAACAGATTAACAAAATTAAAGGGCTAGCGGAAGCTAATACATAAATATAGTTGTCCAATGAGCTGTGCTGACTTATATGAAACGGAATATTTAAAAACTTTACATACATAACCGGTAGTCAACCATACATTATACCCACACACATTACAGTATTTAAGTACAGCCAACGACATCAAATCAAGTCTTAAATAAACAGAAACCACAGAACTTAAACACAGGACGCTTCGGGAACCTCTACATGAGGCACAATGGTTGGCTGACAACGGAACACAGATTCAGGCAAAAGCCTTCATACTCGAACCCCAGAATGCTCACCTATACATATATATATACAAACAGTGAGCTAAAGCCTAGAGAATAACATTAAGGTAAAGGGGTTAGTGAACGAAATCCGAATATATCATAAGTAGAAAACATACCAGAGCATAATCATTCTCACATCAGAACATAATAATGGTACATCCCATAGAACACATCACAGAACGTCTTCCGACTAGAGTAATCGGTTCCGTATACCGATTAAACACATATCACCACAATGAAGTGACTAACGAGATCTCGTAATTATTTGTATGTCATGGACCCGCATTTTCATGCTGTCCCCCATGACTTGGGACTATCTATGGATGCCATAATAGATTCAAACATGGAATATTCGTTCACGAAAACAGATATCGTTTCAGAAATCAGAACTTATCATATTTCATTTGGAACGTAATTCATATGAACGCATCTTTACAATAACGTTACTCACAGTGGCTCCAGTAAGCGGTCAATCAATCCTCGAGTCTTGACCTACAATCACAAAATACATAACACAAGCATGTCTTATCATTACACATTTAAGTGGCCATTAAGACTTGGCTTTCATTACATTGGTTCTTATTCTTTCTTATCACATTGCCTAACATACACACACTTGCAGTCTCGGAACTTAGTACATTCTTTCCTTAGTGTGTTTCTAATCCATAACCTCATTACTATGGCTTAATTAAGGCTTAGGAATGCCTAAGATGCAATGAGGATGCCAAAACATGCCTTGGAATACTTAGGAAAATTTTTTGAAAATAAGGTCCACGCTCAAGCGTAGCTTTCCTCGCTCGAGCGGACATGCAAAATGTGAATGATCGCTCGAGCGTACATTCCTTTGCTCGAGCGATCTGTAAAAGACATGAAACTTCTGGGAGCTTGCAATTCACGCTCGAGCAGACTTTTTGTCGCTCGAGCGAAGTGCACGCACTCAGATTGGTCGCTCGAACGTGAACTCCCACGCTCGAGCGTAGATGCAAATTCTGGAATTTCCAGATTGCACCTTCAAGCTCAAAACTCGAATTCCAACCTTCAAAACACATCTCTTGGGCCCCAAAACTTGAGATAACATAGTAAACTTGTAAAACTTGAAGAATTTAGGATCCTTTCATAAAATCATGGCCCAAGGGTTTGCCAAAAGTTCCCAATTTCAACTTAAACTTCAAGAATGTTTATGAACACAACATGCATGAATTTTTCTTGTATCAAACTTCTCAAAACATGATCAAACACCACAAAACAACTTGAAACTCGATGATCTTCCCTAATTAAGATA